GCGGCGTGCGGCGTGCGGCGTGCGGCGTGCTCGTGTGCGTGTTGCGTCAATATCAAAATGGCCGAAGCGGGAGACGAGGGCGCAGTCGATTTCGAGGTGGCCTCGCTCACTCTCTCTCCTTCCCTCTCACTTTTTGCAAGTGCGAGCGATTTTCCTTTTGTTTTTTCCATCTGCTTTCGTACGAGAAAATCGATTCCTTCTTCCGGAAGCTCTCCAACCACTACACACGATTCAGAACCTGCCAGAGCTTCACAAAGCACACGACGCCTTCACAGCCGGCAGCGAGGAGCGAAAGGGTATCTTGATCACCGCAGAGATACTGCAGGCAGCTGCGAGTATACAGGATGGAATGCGGGATGTGTCCGCTCAGACCTCCTTGTAGATCTTGATGGTTTTGTCGGCGCCGCCGGTGAGCAGACGCGTGCCGGTTTGGTCAAAGGTGGAGCAGAATACGCCCGCCTCGGCGTCGAGCGAGCCTGGCTGGGGCACATCCTCAGCCACCTGGAAGGGCACGCCTGTGGCATAGTCGAAGAACTTGAGGCTGCCGTCGTCGCCACCGCTGAAGAGCACGCCGTCCGCATTGACGCTGAGCGTGTTGACGAGGGTGTCGTGAGCCATGTTGTTGACAAGCGTACCCTCGGGACATCTCCACGTCTTGATGTTGTTGCCGCCCGCACTGCCGGATGCAAACGTGTACTGCGTCGGGTGGATGGCGAGAGCGCGCACACTCTTCTTGTGGTGCGTCAGCGTGGTGATCGACTTGCCCGCGGCGAGATCCCACAGCTTGACCGTGGCATCCATGGAGCCCGAGATGACCTGCGGCTCGGAAGCCTGGCACGCCACGGATGCGACGGTGCCGCGGTGGCCAGTCAGGACGTGCACAGCCTGCCTTGTGCGCATGTCCCACACACGCGCCGTAGCATCACGGCCACCTGTGACGATCAGATCCAGAGTGGGATGAAGCGCGAGCGAGTAGATGCCCGACAAGTGGCCGCCATACTGCCGGATGACCCTGTTGGTCTCCAAGTCCCAGCACTTGACCACGCGGTCTTCGCCCGCCGAAAAGAGGTACGGATGTCGGTCGGAAATGGCAATGCCGCGTACGGGCGAGATGTGGCCAGTGAGCGAGAGCTTGAGCTCGCCCGAGGCGAGGTCCCAGATCTTGATCATGCGGTCGCCAGCGCCGGTCGCGAACCACTTGTTGCCCGGTTCCACCGCCACGCAGCGCACCCAGCCAAGGTGACCCGAGATGACGCGGGCGAGCTTCCAGTTGGGATGGAACGCGGGCTTGGCCTTGCGACTCGCCATCTCCTTCTTCTGGATGAGCGCTTGAGAGAGCAGGCCCGAAGTTCCACCGCGATGAGACGCCAGCGCAAGGGCGTTTGACCCAGCTGCAGAAGCTGCCGAGTGTCCGTTGGATGCACCGGCTGCACCGTTGCTGCGGATCGTAAGCGCCTGGCTTGTCGATGGACCCACTGGCCCGACCACGCCGGGTGCGGATGCCGAGCCGCCGGTGTCGATCTGATCTATCAGCTGGGAAAGATGCGTCTCGTCGCCTCTCCTCTTGGTCGGTCTCGCTGCTCCCGTTGCACTCGGTGCGCCCGGACGAGCGGGACCTGCAGCGGCTTGCTGCTGTGCGAGGATGGCAGGTGGGAGCACCTTGGCATCGACGTACTCGGAGCTAATCTTGGAGGAGAGGTGTGCTTTTGCCGGTTCGAAAGCAGAAGCGTCTCCAAAGTTGTCAAAGTCGTAGTCGTCCTCGATGCGAAACAGGACGCGCGCACGTTTCGAAGAACGGGCGAAGAGGTCGCCGAGCGGAGGCAGCGCTGGCTGCTCAAGTGCTGCCGACGAGCCGGAAGGGCCGGCATGGCTCGCTGAGGAGGAAGCGACGGACATGGCTCGATCTATAGAGCCGGTGTCGATTGAGATAGCGGAGAGAGCGGGGTGGTGGATGCAAGTGGAGCTGCAAAGCTATCGACGTCCGCGAACAAAGCCGCTCGCAAGGTTGCAATTTCGGCAATCGGGCAGAGCGGCCTGGAAAAAGTGCCAAAGTGCCTCAAAAAAGTCGCGCTCAGTCTGGCGCTGAGAACACGACACCCATGGCTGCGACAGATCACGAGTCGCAATCAATTTGGTGTGTGGTTGCTGAGGGATTGACAACGAAAATGAATGAGCCTCGAATCGGACGCGTTGAGTGCGGAAACTCAGATACTTGGCCGTCGCTTCCACTCCCACTCCGCCTTTCCTCATTACAACCACCATCGCCCACCCATCACCCGTATCCGTACATACCTAGCCGACATCAGAGCAGCAGCGCGCCTTTTGGCAAGTCGACCACGAAGAAAAGGCTGGAACTCTGCACACCGCTTTCTCTCTCTATCGCTAATTGTAGCCAAAGGGCTCTTTCGCTGCCTGAAGCGCTCGACTCTACTCGATTGGCACTGCCGCCACCATGACATCAAAGGACCTCTCGCTCGAGGAGCTCAAGGACCTGCAGAAGCAGCTCTCGAAACTCGCGACCTCGTCCGACTCGGAAGCCATCCTTTCGGTGTTCTCCAAACTCAAAAGCGGCCTCTCGGCGCCCACAGAAGATGTGATTCGCCAGAGCAAGATTGGTGTCGCTGTGGGCAAGTTGCGCTCGCACTCGGACAAGAAGGTTGCCGACCAGGCCAAGGCGCTCGTCAAGGACTGGAAGGCCACCGTCGACAAGCAGCGCGCACAGCAGCAATCCAGCACCGCCAGCAGCAAGCCCTCGTCCTCGTCCGCCTCGCCCGCTCCCACATCCAAGCCAGCAGACGCCGTGGCGGAAGCAGAAATCAACGGCGCAGCAGCAGCAGCAGCGAAATCGTCGGCACCACCGGCATCCGCAGCACCGGCTTCCACCACCAAGATCGACTTTGAGATCCTGCAGGACAAGGTGCGCAATGCATGTCTCAAGCTGCTCTACCAGGCGCTCGAGATCGGCAAGGAGCAGCACGGCCATAGCGACTCGCAGGTGTTCGACGCCGCCGTCGCGGTGGAAGCGGCCATTCTGGCCAACCAGGGCAAGGGCAGCGTGACGGCCGACTACCGCAACAAGGTGCGCAGTCTGTCGCTCAACATCAAGGACAAGAACAACCCGGACCTGCGCGTGCGCGTCGTTGAGCGCGACATTGCCGCCGACAAGCTCGTCACCATGACCAACGAGGAACTCGCGAGCGACAAGCGCAAACGCGAGATCGAGGAGCTCCAGATGCAGAACCTCTTCAAGGCCAAGGGTGCCGCCGCACAGGAGGCAGAGACCGACGCCTTCCAGTGCGGACGATGCAAGCAGCGCAAGACCAGATACTACCAGATGCAGACCCGATCCGCCGACGAACCCATGACCACCTTCGTCACATGCACAAACTGCAACCACAAGTGGAAGTTCTGCTGATCTTCCAACACACTCCTGCCAATTGTACTTGTACCCGCCCAAGCCCGGACGTGCCGACAGAGTATGATCCGAGACAGTCACCGCTCGCCGACACACATTCAGGCGTGAGCAAGAGGAGGTTTCAACCATGTGCTCATTCTGGCGAGCCAACCTAGTAAACAGACAGCGATGGGGGGAATCAAGTAGCGCGACAAAGCGTGGGGGGGGG